TGTGAGATATTCAAAGCATTTTTATTCAACTTTATCTCGTTTTTATGCCATAAAATTCTCCACAACTTCATCACCAGTCTGCCTGCTAAGTTCCTTGTTCGTTGTGATGCTGTTTGTTTCTTAATATTCTCTATTAAACCTTTGTGGTCTTCACAGAATAACTGGGTTTATGCTGAGAATAAATGAAATGACTTCTGGCAAATGATTATGGAGCACTGTATTTTAGGGGTGTTGAGGTAAAGTTCACAGAATGTGTATGCAATAAACTGTAAAATAAATAAATAAATAAAAGGTCTCTAATTTATGATAAAATAGCAGAAGCCATAAAAATACGGTAAAATCTGTATAAGTACGGATTTTACTGTATAAATACGATAAAATTCTGGCAACCACAGATGCCTGCATTTTACCATAAATTAGAGACTCTTTTTTTTTTTTTTTTTTTACAGAGTACACTATAATACCACAATGCTTAAATTATGTATAATTTTTCATCCACTTCACAACTGTGCACCTCTTAGTGTTGTTTATTTTAACCCAAATAAAACACATTAAACGCTGCAAAACGCAAAAAAAAAAAAAAGTTAAAATCCAAGGCAGTGTCAAAATCCCAAAGTTGTTGATCATAACAAGTGAAATAAGTACAACTAAAACTCCTTTACTGGAGTACAAATAAGCAACAAGTTGCTAGAAGAAAAGTCAGTTGCAAATTTGTCTTATTTTGAAACACATCCTTTGAGTAGGAAAAGGAAATAGGAGCTCATGTTGTTAAAGATCATAAAGCCATATCTGGATGTGTTCCAGTGTTACTTGTCTTTAGCAGTTTTTCCATCTGGAGCGCACACGGAGAAAATTAGATTTTCCTCTATTTTCAATTTGTTTATACAGTAATTGTTTGACCCCGCGCTCCGGGGTTTCTGGCGTGATTAAAATGCTGCCACTTCTCCCCTTGTTGACTATCAGACAATCAGATGATAGACCGTTCTGAAAGGTCTTTTTTCACCTCTTCTCTTCTACCTCCTGGGAGTGGAAGACAAAGGAAAATACGGAGGTGGGAAATTGAGGGGAAATTGAGAGAGCGCGGTAGACGGGGAGGGAGAAGGCCCGAGGCATGAAGAGAGGGAGAGGTGAGGAGGAAGGCAGAGCGAAAACAGATGTGGCTCATTGAAGCGACTCTAGCCCACAGTCAGAGACAAAGACCTGAGAGCATGAGTGCATGATCCTCCACTGGCACACGGGAAATTATAGATGGTGTGTGTTACGGAGAGTGTGAGGGGAAAGAAGAAGGATACATTCTTTTACAGTACTTAGAGATGGTGTTTGCTAATATTTTTTTCTTTTTTTTTTCCCTATAGCCGAATCCCAAACAGTTTATAAATCACCCAACAAATTCATCTCAAGATGTTTTTAGAGCTATGACTTCATCCGCCTTTCTATTACAAATTCAAACAAATAGGATCAATACATCTCTGCCAGGGCTCAGCTGCTTTTTAATTTGTTTGTTTCCCACTGTTGGTGAAGGAGTTATATTGCTGTTGTCTGCTGCGTCTCTCAATATCTCCAGGGTTTCATATTTGTGAGGTATAAGATTAATTTGTAATATATTGTAAATATCAAATTTCTGCCTGTTCTCCTTTGATCCTAGCGACGGTGATGCACAGACACACTAAAAATGGTTGAGTTGGAGACAGCATCTTATAATTGCATTGGGTGAGGGTGTTAAATATGAGGAAAGTATGCCCTCTTCCAGTTTTGTATAACAGCACAAACACACAACAGATGCAAAACCGATATTAATTTGCCAGAAAACAAAGTCGTAATGAAGAACAATGTCTCAAATGCAAAGTAAACCTTTGCTGTTTATATATATATATATATATATATATATATATATATATATATATATATATATATATATATATATCTTAGGATATGTTACCAGTTTTAACATGCATGTTAAAGCATACAAGCATATATTTTACTGTTGTCTTTATCTAATAAATAATGACATTTTGTTTACGTACTTTGATATTAACTGTTAAACATTATACAAACAAGACCAGATCATTTTTATTGCGTTCATGTATGCAAAACGTAGACTTGAAGGAGGATACCTATTCCTCTTACAGTTTCAGCAATGCAAACATCTGTATAACCACACAAGCTAGCTCATGTTAATTTGGAGATGCTAGAAGCTGTTTTTTTTTTTTTTTTGTTTTTGGGCAGTAAAGGAAGGAGAGCTAACCTAGTTAGCATAACTATGATTCACTGTGCAAGCACAAAGCTGTGTAGTGAAAAATTTTCACCAAGTTATTCCTAAGCAACTTTTTAAAAACTGGCCTTTTAAAAAAACTAGAGTTTTATGCTAGCAAGCAGCTATCTCACTCAGTTGGGTTCTGCTTTCAGCCAAATGTAGCTTTTATCCAATTTCCCTTCTTATTTTTCAAAACCCTGTTTTGTTATGTGATTTTTATTAATCAAAAAAATTGTATATTTCTGAGCAGGCTGAAATGTTCCTAAAATAATTGTTCTCATGAAACTCTTTTTTTTTTTGTCCCAGTGGGCCACAGGTGGTTTTGGACAAATAAATGCTGAACAGTTTGACCACGTTGTGGCACTTTTCTTCTTCTATTCACATTTTCATTACACTCACAAATAAAGAGTGTGCAGCAGAATTAGTAGCCCCGAATCCCGACTGATCTTAATGACATTTTGCCAAATTCAGCTTTTAACTGTGGAATACATTTGTTTGCCTGTGCATGTGTATGTGTGTGTGTGTGTGCGGTTTTTAAATAGCCTCATTAGGTAAGCACTGATGGATAATACCTTAGTGAAATAATTACTACCCCTTTCCTGGCCCCTTTTAACGGAGAGTAAAAGAGAGTGAGCACAGAGAATGAGGGAAGGAAGGGACATGAGAGAGGGAAAGGAATAGAAAGAGAAAGAAGCCAGTGACAGACAGAGGAAGAGTGATGGCAAAGAAGGAGCAGGGGAGAAATTTTCAGACTTTATTCATTAAAAAGAGGAGCTCAACAAGGGGAGATGGCATTAATCAGAGCTCTGTGCTAATGAGGCATTTATTCATTATACAGAAATAGAGAGAGTCTTAGGAAGAAAAAGACAAGAGAGGGAAGGAGAGACTGCAATGCAAATTAATAGAAAGCGAACAGGGGTGAAAACAGGGAGGCTGTTGCAGAAAGGTGAAAGAGTCAAGTGTGTTTGAGGTGAAGCCCGAAACGAATCTGAAGAGTGAAGCAATGCTCTCCGAAAGTAATTGGGAGCCGCCACTGCCTAAATTCACTTTCAAAGGTTTAGAGCTCGAATGAGTAATTTAAATAGAGTGACAGTATACTGGCGTGACAGTAAAAATTACAACTTCGCCGCGTTTATGGGAGAGTGGCTGCAGGCTATAGTTTTATCACAAATGGCACAATTTCTAGGAACAAAAAGGCAATTTCATTTTGATGGCAAAACACAAGGAATTATGGCTTTCATAATGGTTTTTATATCATATTATGTCATTTTTTTTCTCTTTCTGTATGACTTTAGAGAACAGAGAGGCCTTTCATTCAGTTAATAGCTGGTTGAACATGTTTGATATCTGTTTCTACCATTGGCATGCAATAACCTGGAATAATCCTTTTTTGGTAACTTAGTTGTTATTTTTGCTTTATTCGACACTCTTAGCTAATTGATTGAGTTTCTTTAAGATACAATTTTCTTTAAATAAAAAGATCGAATGGGAACCTGATCGTACAATTTGATTTGTAACTCCAGAAGAACTCCCTGTGCTGTAATAAAATATTACAAAACATTATTATAAGAAAATTCACATGAGCAAAATCACATATTATGTCCATCTGTAACCTGCTGCATAAAAAATGGTAGCTTGACTAAGATTGTACATATTTCATGTAAAAAAACATTTTGTTATTCTTTCATAAGACAAGTCAGTCTATCCATGATTAGCAATTTTGTCTTATATGGAACCAAAAATGATGACTTATTTATTATTGGCTATTGGCCTTGATCAAAGCCATGTTGTGATTGTAAGATCTGCTGGATAACCACAGGCTTGTGTGCAAGACGGTTCTTTTCCTCTGCAGTGACTCAAACCATTAACTCTGATCCCAGTAACTACATGTAAACAGTGAAACTAAACGATTGCACTTCATCAAGTTGAAAATGTTTGCGCGTGTGCACCAAGTGGCCAGGTGAGTGAGCTGTAACAGCCCAAAATGGCGGATTGAGATTGCTCCATCGTTGTTTTAAAATCTGATCAAAGATGGATGATCCTTGCCGTGAGGGCAGCAACAGGTTGGGCAGGGGCAGCACTGTGTTAGTCTTTACTACATTCTGTGTTTGTCTCGATACCAAAAGTCTATTTTGATACCAAATTATGTTTTTAATTATGACGAGATTTCCGTATTGGCCTAAATGTTTGATTTGCTCTGGTATTTTTGTTGTCACCGTGCAAAAGCTGCTACATCAACCATAATGTACCACTTCAACCCCACGGTTTTCAGTTTTCTGCATAAATCTTCCTGTGCCTCAAACCAAAAGCAGTTGCCTTTCAGTTGCTGACCCTTACGTGACACCAGAAACGGAAAACCTCTCTTCCCTCTCTGACTGAAAGCCTGGAAAACAGCCTTTAATAATCTCCAAACCAAGCTCTACTCTGTTTTTCTATTCCTCTCTCTCTCTCTCTCTCTCTCTTTAACCTCCTACCATCATTCTTCCCTTTTCCCCGACCTAATGTACGTGGCGGTGCATGATTCAAATCTAATCTCAGTTATCCTTCATCATTAGAATTATAAATTCCACATCTATTTTTAGTACTAAACCCCACAATCCAGTTTGATTAAGCCACGGTTAAAGCTTGCTCTGACTTTCAGCCTGCTCTGTCCTCTCTCTCAGGATGTAATTCAACTCACCTTCTTTCTGTCTGTCTCTGACCGTCTGCCTGTCTGTCTGTCTGTCTTTCTGTCTGTCTGCCCCAGGAGTCTGACCTTGTCCTGACGTTCAACCTGTCCATGCATCGTTCCTGGTGGATGGAGAACGGCCCCGGGTGCAGGGTGACACCAATCACCCCTCCTCCCTCCTGGGCACCGGAGGACCACCGATATATATCTATATCTGACTGTCTTATGAACTTTGAGTTCATAGAAGTGGCTCATTCCTCACTGCAGATACTCCTGGCTGTGAGTATTCGTCTTAAATGAGTGTTCTCTTGAGTCTTTTTTTTTTTTGGCAAAGGTCTTAAAACCTACAGAAATAGGAAGTATTTGCAGCATGTGTTTCTGTAATTACAGTTTGCAGCAGCTCTCAAAGACTCTCCATCTTTTTGCTTACAACACCAACTTCGCTTTCTGAATTTTTTTACAAATAAAAACTGGTAATTAGGTCATGGGGATATCTTCGCCAAAGTCTGAGAGCGCTGTTTTAACACCAATACGTAAAGAGCAGCTGGGTAAAATAGCCTTGACCTGCCTTTTTTAAATCTCATGGCCATCCAGGGAAGGAATAATTGATGTGAAGAGAAGTTTTTGTAGAAATCCAAAACGATTTTATTGAACGACTTGATACATTGAATTTGTCATTTTCTAAAGCATTACTGATTACTTTGATCATCTTTGAGATGCTGATAGAAATTGAGAGGGAAACAGTGTGTTGATGCATGATTTGCTACTGCACTCATCATCATCATCATCATCATCATTGTCATCTTCCTATTCTGGACATGTTTTTAGTGCATTCCTACTTTTGCATTTTTGAACTTTTGAACGGTTTTACGAATGAGTTTTTTTTGCAGATCAGAGCAATAAAATACACACTAAATAATTTTGTGAACAGTTGCCTTTAGGTGACTGTTGAGTCGATGTGATTGCGTTTCTCTGTACAGTTTTTCAAAATCCCTTAAATTGCACAGCAGTAAATCAAGCCTCTGTTCTGCTAATAGAAAGTCTCACTTTACCTCAGTTCTCCATGTTTAACTCCGCGCATTTGTTTTACATATTTGGTTCAATATCAGTCATTCCCTGTTTTCTTCCGCATTTCCTATCTGTTCCCTAACAAAAAGAGAAACCGGGAGTAGAAATGAGGCAGACCTTGTTTCCTACGTCGCCCAGCTCTTTTTTTTTTTTTTTTTAGCTGAATCCTCGCATGCAATAAACAAGAAACAAGCGGGTGTTTTTATTCGGTCTGTATGCATCCATGACGCTTACAGAATGAGTGAAAGTCTTTTCTCTCTTTTCTGCTTTTTTCCCCCTTTTTCTTCCTGGATCTTTGTCCCTTATGCACCGCTGTTCCCTCTCATCATGTGCTTACTGTGTCTCTCCGTAAATCGATAGTGGTACTTATATCGAGGCTGAGTGCCAGGCTACCAAACAGCTTTACTACTGTCTCACAGTAATTGGTGTGTTGAAACACTGTCATGCTCTCTGAGCACAAACTCAGCAGTCTGACGGGTTCACTGGCTGACTGGCTGCCTGGTTTAAGACCCATCACTAAGTGAGCGGTTAGTGTTTTATTGGGCTGCACAATGAACTGTAAGACTAGTTGTCTCCATGTCGACTAGTCAGGTGCCTGATTTTCCAGATAACTGACAGGGAGAAAAATTAATAAGGGGGTGGGTGTCAGTTGGAATATTGTAGACTTCAAGAAAACTGAGTTCATGCGGATAGAATTACTAAAAAAAGAAATCTAATGAAGATATTTGTGGATAGTCTGTATCGGGGGTAGAGATACCCACTGAGGCACAGCAGCTGTCAAGAGCTTTTCCAGAGCATGATTTTGTTTGGGTTGGTGGTCTTCTGGGCATGATGTGATGGACTAGTTTGCCTGTCTGACTGGCTCACTGATGGTCTGATTGTCCATGTAGCTCAACCAGTTATGATGTACTCTGCCACTACTTCAGCTCCGCCAGATGTTCTGTGCTTCTACAAGTGACAGACATTTTTCTGAAGAACTGACAAGAGCCTCCATATTTGGCTTGTCTCATCAATTTTGGTAAGCACGTGTACTTACTTGTAGCAATACTGTACAGATGCATCTAACAGGATGTTAATAATTTGCCAATAAGCCTTGCTGTTCATGGAGTGCTACTAGAAATTTTAGTGGAGGGAAAAACTGTGGTAGAAAATATTTCACAAGCAACCAGATCGAGGCTGTGGTGTCCAGGGAGTTCCAAAGTTGTCTTTGTTTTAAAAGGTTTATGTACTAGAGATAGTAGCAATCAGTCATGTCAGCTACAGGTGTGTGTTTTATTCCAAGTCCAGGTCTAAGCAGCGGTCTTCAAGGAAACTCTAGGTCACTTCATGCTGTCCTCTGCTGACAATGAAGACACCTGACTCCAGCTTACACTGCCAAAAAACTAACGCTACCTCATTTAATATCCCAATTAAACGAGGTTTGTTGTGTCTATGTACGAGATAGCGTTCAGTTTCTTTCGGTATCGCTTTGCTTGCTTGGTCAGCAAACTTTCTTTACCTAACTCCCCCCTTCCCCCTAAAAAAAGAAAACAAAAAACAAAACTGGAATATTGTCAAGAGGAAGATGAGAAATGGATTCAGACCACGTTGCATAGATGCAGTAGTGATTTAATTTTCAGTTTTTACTAATCAGCACGAAAATCAGCTAAGAAATAAACATCTGAAATACAACACTGTGTAATGAATCTATTTATTAAATAGGTTTTGCTTTTTGAATTGAAGCAGTCAAAATAATTACTTGTAAATGATTTTCGGTAACACTTTACTTGAAGGGGGTTGAATAAGACTGTCATGACACTGTCATAAACATGACATAACACCTGTCATGAACATGAATAAGCCTTCATGAATATTTATGACTGTTGTCATAAAGCGTCATTCGGTAAATTATGACACTTTTAATACAAAGTTGACATTATTCAAGATGTCTTTGTTATGACAACTTGACATTAACCAATAAATCATTACTGTTTAAACTTTACCTTTAATAACATAAAGTTACCTAATTTTTAAAGTGCAATCATTAATTCTTTTATAACAAATTTATATCAATAATGATTTCTTGGTTAATGTCAAGTTGTCATAACAAAGACATTTTGAATAATGTCAACTTTGTATTAAAAGTGTCATAATTTACCGAATGAAGCTTTATGACAACAGTCATAAATATTCATGAAGGCTTATTCATGTTCATGACAGGTGTTATGTCATGTTTATGACAGTGTCATGACAGTCTTATTCACCCCCCTTCAAATAAAGTGTTACCATGATTTTCTAATTTGAGCTGTTTCTCTATACCTGGTGAATTTAAAAAATATATATATATCTTATTGTAAAAGAGTGGGCAGGATATTTTTACTTCTATGTTCTGATGTTCACTTGTGCTGAACACAAGTCCTTTTGGGCCATTGCTGCTAGACTGTAACACACCGGGGACATCTTTAATCACCACATTTTTTTTTTCAAGCTGTGTTTTACCTGCTAATGGAACAGGCAAGTTGATAATTAAATTAGAAAAAAAAAAAGACAAATATCTAAGTAGAGGCTTTCTACAGGCACGGTGGTGTTGTAATTGCAGTGATTAACCAAAGTGGAGGAACTAATCAGTGAAATCACCTACTGTTGTTTGTGTTGTTGAAGAAATCCTGCAGACAGTCAGGCCTTCGTTGCACACGACTAAATAACCTTGACTAGAAATGATTACAAGTGCTCACAGTGGAGGAGATCATCGGCTGGTTTGAGTGATTAATTCTTCTGAAAATAAGGTGCAAGTCGCAGTCGTTCAGGTTGAATTTTGTACACTGCAAAAAATGTTTTAAATACAGCGTAACCTGCCCAAAGTAGCATCATATTTGTAAAAAATAGTTAAAATATTAATAACAAATAGCCAAATAGATTTCGATAATCATTAAGAAACCAGATCAAGTCCCCAAAATTTTCCCTTCTCAATTATTTTTATAGGGCGAATTGTATCTTCATTTGAAGCTGGACTCTGTCATATAGCCTCAGCAAGAACTTGGACTAGTGATTGGAATATGCTAACTTTGGAAAAGCAAAGCAAACTTCATAAAATACCTATTTCCTTTCTAGATTTGACTTTTAGACAACGAAAAGTCACTTAACTTATTCATTTGACTATCTCCTTTTCCTCACTATTTACATGGTGCAACAAGCATCATCAAACAGCACGTTTAGAGCATCCTGCACAAGTATTGCGTTGGCCGGCTTCACTTTAGCTAAACATCTCTGCAATGCATTAGCGTAATTTGATTCATAAATGAATCTAGCAACACAAAACCATGGGAGCTGATGTGGATTGAGTTGCTACTCATTTCGTACTTTGTACGTTTTTGGCCATCTCTTACCTGCACCTACTGTACCTCAAGATGTTTTATACCAACTGTGTTAGTTAGCACTAGGCTTGTGACATTTTGTATCCACTTTGAAAACCAACGTTTCTACCCAATCTACTGTAGTTTACTTATGTGGTAACGTAAGACCATCAAATTGCATCTACCAGTAGGAGTTTGCTCATTTATTTTGGTTATAATCTGTTATGCCGTCTAAAAGCCTGCTCTCTTTTTAAAAATAATTAACTTCATGATTTATGAAAACACCTAACCAACAGGAGATATAAAGAGATGCTCTATAGTAAAGTACATGGCCATGAAATATTAGCCCAAACTTCTACAAAACGTTGGTAGCTAGCTGTAAAAGGGCAAAGTGTTGGTAAGATAGAAAGGTTGGGTTTACCTGACCTAACCTCATGAATATCACAGTAAAGTTGGCACACAGTCCCACTATCAATGCTTCACCATAACACAATCAAACCACAAACCTGACTTACCCTTTGAAACATTGATCGTTATGGCGCTGTCACTAGCTCCTCCGCCAGAAATCACAGGAGGTTTTCTCAGTCCTGGCTGAAAGTGTTTTATGAAAGAAGCTCAAATCATTCACCTCCTTCTTTGCTTATTATCACCTTTAGCTAGCTCTTGTGCCGGTGAACTGGGAAGGAATGGGTCACCTCTGATTATTCGTCTTCCAGGACATTTTTACTAGACTGGCTCCGATACATTGTTCCATCTGCACATGCCTTTCTCTATACATCTTTGCTTAATATATTGAGCATTGAACGTTTATACAAGCATTTTTTTTAAACTCTCGCTGTTTTGCAAACCCACAGAGAAAAATTACAATGTGAAAATGTA